GGCTGCCGGCCCCTCACGGCTCTGCCCTCGCTCTGCAGACGTGGAGCAGATGGCCATCGACTGGCTGACCGGCAACTTCTACTTTGTGGATGACATAGACGACCGCATCTTCGTCTGCAACCGCAACGGGGACACGTGTGTCACCCTGCTGGACCTGGAGCTCTACAACCCCAAGGGCATCGCGCTGGACCCTGCGATGGGGTGAGGGGGGGGCCGCGGGGGGCGGGCGCCAGGCGGGCCGGCCAGGCCGCCTCACATGCCCTGCGCCCGCAGGAAGGTGTTTTTCACGGACTACGGGCAGATCCCCAAGGTGGAGCGCTGTGACATGGACGGGCAGAACCGCACCAAGCTGGTGGACAGCAAGATCGTGTTTCCCCACGGCATCACCCTGGACCTGGTCAGCCGCCTCGTATACTGGGCGGACGCCTACCTGGACTACATCGAGGTGGTGGACTACGAGGGCAAGGGCCGGCAGACCATCATCCAGGGCATCCTGGTGAGGGGCCGCGGGGGCCACCCGGGCGCGTGGCCGCCCCCTCCCGCTCTCCTGGTGTGGCCGTGGGGCCTGGTGTGGCCGTGGGGCCTGGTGTGGGCGGTGGCCTGTTACAGGCTTTGCTTGGGGCCTCCGTGCCCTCTTGAACTTCCCAGAACTGGGGGCTGGAGTTCAGCTGATAAGGTTCTCTGTGGACGGCGTTCAGGGCCAGACTCCAGCTGTGCCCCAAATCAGTCCACCAGCGACCTTGTGCCTAGATCTGGGGCGACGAGGGGGGGTCTCTGTCCCCAGGCGGTTGAGCAGAGCGGGAGGGGTCAGCCCACAAGTCACAGAGTGACAAGGGGTCAGAGGATTCCAGAAACTTGAAAGGCCACGAGGGCAGCACCGTCCAGGCGAGAGACAGGTCGGGCCCGGGCTGGCAGTTGGGACTGTGTGTCTGGAACTGCAGCGGGGGCGCCGGGGGCCGGCGGAGCCCCTTGCTGACCGTCGCCGTGGCCCGCCCCAGATCGAGCACCTCTATGGCCTGACGGTGTTTGAGAACTACCTGTACGCTACCAACTCGGACAACGCCAACGCCCAGCAGAAGACGAGCGTGATCCGCGTGAACCGCTTCAACAGCACCGACTACCAGGTGGTCACCCGCGTGGACAAGGGGGGCGCCCTCCACGTCTACCACCAGCGGCGGCAGCCCCGAGGTGAGTGGCCCGCAGGTCGGGGTCCCCCCCGCGCTCACCTGGAACGGCCTCCCCGGTCGTCCGCCTAGACTGGCCCCGGCCCTCAGTTTCCCCCGCTGGCTCCTCCTGACCCCCGGCCTCCGGCCTCACCCCGTGGGGCCCCTGCGCCACAGGGACGCGGCCTGCCCCCCAGCTGCCTGGCCGGTGTGCCGTAGAGGAGCCCGGGGGGCCC